TGACTCAGAACTTTGATGGTTTTCCCCAGTCCCTCCTGAAAAATTCCGAGACAGTACAATAACTGTGACCACGTCCGTTTCCTTCCAAGTCCTTTTATTTAACGCTACAGATCTGAACTAAAAATACGTCGTTAAGTACACCAGAAAATAGATATAAAATAAAAATCATGTCTTATAGCTGTCACTCCAAGGCCGTCTGTATATCTTTGTTCATTTAACGACACTGTATGTATTACGTAGATTATATATTTTCAAATGACGAAAATGATTATAAATCATGTACTGTGGCGAAATTGCCACGGTGGTCTAGCGGTTAGAACGCTGGCCTTGTAATCCTGGGGTCTCGGGTTCGATTCCCGGTGGTGCCCGAATTTATAACTTGTGTTGGGCAAGGCCGTGGCCTAGGCAACACGGAGTTTTCCTCATTGGCATCCCAACAATTACTCCATTCACGCACAGAAGAAGGCAATGGCAAACCGCTTCTGGATCATCTGCCAAGAACGTATATGAACAGGTCCCAGTCCGAGAAAAGGATGGAAGGATCCTGTTCATATGGACCTGTCGTCAGACAGAACACTAAATAATAATAATATAGCTGTCTTACTGCTGATGTGTGATAAGACAGTTTCCTATAATGTGGATGTATTGTCTTTATTGAGGCTTCGATAACGAAGTCCTGGGTAATGGAACCTTCGTTAGAAGAAGTTTTGCAATGAATTGGCAAAATTCAGATTATAGTTAAATAAAGATGTTAGTATATAAACGCAACCTGACAGTTACACAGGGAGCCAGACAGGTTGATTGACAGCGAAATGCAGAGATGCAGACAAACAAGCACGCGGATAGATTTACAGTTGTTGATAATATGTCAAAATTTGCTAAAGGCGTATACTGGAGCGTTTAAACGGACTTACAGTGTAGTCTTATGGCATATCTGCATATCACGTGTAGGTTTCATGCGCGTTTGCAACTAAAACTCGAAAAAAATTTCCTATTGGCCTATAATCTTCGTCATGTCTGTCTGTGGACATCGAGAACAGCTGGGCAGATTTCATGAAATTTACTACTGTGGAGTTTTATATCCTGGTGACCTTGTTTACAACGGTCAGCCGCCAACTACGTAAAAGAATCCATCGGGAAACGTCAATCTGACAGGCACTATACACCCCGCCCACGTAAAGGTGATTGGCCCCCAGTCATCTCTGACGTCACGAGCAATTCACAAAGCTCAGATTCTAGTAATCGAGTCAACATTGTTACGCTACGTCTACAATTCCTAACTTGTCGAGAGAGGCTGCCAATAATACCAAATTTAATTTAAAGAACTTCGGGACTTTTTCGTTGTGTTTTCTCGGTTAATACAAACCTTCTTCGTCTTCCCTCGTATCTTGGTAAATTTTAATACATCCGCGTTTAAATATTTACCTTACAAAAATATGGTCAACTGATATTCGTCGCGTAATTTTAAAGTTTTGATCTGAAGGAGTTCTTGTATGTCATTTGCCTGTTTCTGTATTTCTTACTATTCAGAAATGTCTACTACTTTCAAAACAATGAAAGTAAACAGGCTTTTTAAATTCGTTGTACCAACAACAATAACATCTAACCTCAACAAATGGAAATTTGATTCAAATCTAAACTTACAGTAACTTTGTAATCAATCTGTGACAACACTTTATCCATTAGCGTCCTATAATGATATTACGTAGGATATTATTTTTAATTTTCTGATATATATTTGATATCAACAATGTTTACGGAGTAGATTTTTCCGTCTCCGGGCGATTGACTGACATTGTACTACAGATATCTTTTTGTTCTTAGCTTAGTATCGATTGTTGGGAACTTTAGAACAGTGTTATTCAATCTTTTTTTGTTCGCGTAACCCCAGATATAATTTCTCTTCAACTTTGTATCCCCAAAGTTGTTGGTGTATAATTCAAGTTATACATAATATATAATCTACATCTAAAATAAATTAAACAAATTACATTACTGATTATTCAGTGTTTATCATAAAATAATTTTTTTTAAATTTCACGTACCCCCGGGGGTACGCGTACCCAGATTGAATACCACTGCTTTAGAACATTTGAAAACTAAGCTAGTTAGCTAACCACCAGATTTACTGCCAGGTATATGACCACCTTACTTTACTTTTTAAGTATTTAAATATATATTATTTAAATCTTGTCCGTCAAATCACAATAAATTCTTATTAAATATTAAAATATTACAATAATTAACATTTAAAATATTTAAAATATTAAATGATGTTCTTTATCGAAATATCTTTAGAAACTGAAACATGTCGTGAAAAATGATGGTCTAATGTAAATCGAATATTTCGATAAAGAACATCATTTAATATTTTAAATATTTTAAATGTTAATTATTGTAATATTTTAATATTTAATAAGAATTTATTGTAATTGGACGGACAAGATTTAAATAATATATATTTATTATATCACTATATGACGCAACTTTACCATCTCATAAGTATTTAAAGTTATTAAATTAACAGTCATCATATTTCCGATTTAAGTTAAGGTGAAAACTGTACATCAGATAAAATTTGTAATACGATTCCCAGGTTCCTGGCAGACAAACCGACGCAGGCAATAAACAAAAATTCTTTTACGTGGTAAAATGTTTCTTAGATTTATGGTCTGCTGTACTTTACAGTATCATACCTCAATTAGGAAGCAGAGTCTTCAAACATCACAGCTAAAAATAGAAACGTAGCTTCACATGTGAGCTTTGTTAACGTGTTGAAAGAAATTCGGTAATAGAAAAAAGTCGAAAGAATATGAGTAGTGGAATCTAGAAAAAGGAAGAGAAATGACGAGTGAGAGAATAAGAATAAAGAAAGTTTCTAAAAGAGGAAGAAATGAACAGGGGGGAAAAAGTTAGTCGAAACAGAGTTGCTTAGACGAAGTGCAGTATCTGTCGTCATGTATGAAGGTTGGGGGGGACTTGATTGGTAGAAACGGATGTGAAATACGACCTTCAAGTGTACAACTACTCGACAAAGAATACTACGTTTCCAAAGGTAATAAATGGAAGGCAAAGTCTTGCTATAAGTTCTGAAAAGAAATCTTTCCAGTCAGACTTCAAACGAATAAAAAACCAAAAAAAGATCACATACGTAAGAACGAATAATGAAGAGAGACTAGTAGAATATTTCACGGTGCTTTATTAAGTTCAGTGACCACACGACAGAGAGCGGAAGTCAGAAAACTGATAATACTTACGCTGTAAATAATGAGAAATGTAAAAAGGTCAGATACCAATTTATTTTCAGACTAGCACTGACCCGTCAACGTTGACGGGAAACAACTTTCTTTGTGTTGAACAACAGTGCTGCTTTATAACAGCGTTATCTTTACAAATAGCAATGAATATATAAAAAATGTAACATTTATTTATTTATTTATGTATATAATTTACCACATTTATCTGGAAATTAAAGTAATGACGTCATTTGGCATAGAAAATTAAGCAGTGTATGAAATTATATCTCTTTCACAAGTTTTCTTACGTACAATTATTTTTTCTCTTTTGAAAACGCGTAGATGTTAATCACATGAGATGGACTGCGTGGTTCCAGTGTGAAGCGTATAAGCGAAATCGAAAATGTTGCTGTTTGGGATCCCCGATGGAGGTCACTCCGTCTTGCACGCAAGGCGTGAGTTTCTCGGTTCAGATGATGTACCAGGTGACTAAAAGACCCGGCTAAGGGTCGCAAGTGTCAACTGAGTAAAAACATTATCAGACTTGTGAAATTACTAAAGTAAGTTAATACTGATTTCATCATTGCTTTGCTTAAATTTAACTTATAATTTGTTTTTATTTTCTAAAATAATTACAAAAATTAAATATTTGTTTCTATTCTATTTTTGTCGTAAGTTATAATAAATTAATTTTCCAAAGCAATGGATATTTATTCTGCGGTAGTCTGGGTTCTGACACCGAGTAGTCCTGTAAGTGAGTAACAACCTGCTGTCTCCACGTTCTGGATACACTACTTCCTACTCTGATCTTATGGATTTATAATTCCTCGTGAAGTATCTGTGTGAGGTTGCCACAGAGGCCATTACATGCAGGATTTGTGTTAACAAATGATAACCTATATACTATTAATAAATTAATTATTTTTATAAATTTTAAAAACAATTTGGGCGTTATGGAATCACTTTTACTTTTCGATAAAGTGAAACAAACTATAAAATCCACAGCCTAAAATCCTGTTTCTCCTGATAGCAAATAGATGACATAGCCTAGATTAATGCAGCGTAATCTAATATAGCCTGGCATCATCTAACTCAATATAATCCAGTTTTGCACTTGTGAGGATAACGTCATTTATGGAGATAAATCCGCTTGTACCCTGAAATTGCGACAGGAAATTACCTGTTTCTGCGTGTTCAGAATTTGTCAATCCAGGTGGATCAAACAGCGTTTCCGGCAGATTTTAGACTGATTTTCGTAAGAACTACATAATTTTAAGGCGGATTCTTTACGGTGAACAACTCACAAATCTAAAACTATCTCAACACGTCACACAGATCCTATAACGTAACGACATGAAACCCAGAATTCGATATCTCTGTCTTCAAGTAAATCACCGATACACTAATTTTTTTACCTGTCTTCGCGTTCAGAACTGGATCTTATAACTAACTGTATTTAGTGACACTTGTTTAAAAGACGCGAAACTTCTATTTAAAATTTTAGTTATATTTATACAAAATGAAAGTTCAGTAACTTTGAGACGTAAATGCCTCTTTATCGATATTAAGTTAAAATAATCGCTTCGCACGACTAGCAAGATATCTCTCTGAAATATGTTAAAAAATAATATTACATATTATAACGCAAACTTCTTTTTCAATTGCAACTTATCAACCTGAACCAATATCGCACATTTATGTACAACACAAAAGCTTTTATACCTATGTATGCGTGTATGTATGCATGACTAACCATGTTAATTGTACAATGAAGTCTTCTTGGGTTATCAGCCAGGCACGGAGTTCCAGTTCAATTATTCGGAGACTATTTCTGCCTCCTTCATCAAGGTTAACACAGAGTTATTAATAAACTGCATCAACCTAGAAATTTGTCGTGTTTTCAGATGCCTTCGACTTCATAAAACCTTTCAAGTCATAAACATAAAACATGCGTCACGAAACATATTTTCCACATAAGTTTTGAGTAAGTCAGCTCATATTCTAAAGAAGGTGAGATGTATTTCATGTTCCTGCAAAATTCTGTTACTGTGTTAAAAAAAAGAATCCTACAGAAAATGTAATTTTAAACCCTTCGTATGAAGATACTGATTATTCTCAATGTGTCGTTGCATCGTATTTTTCACTAGTATAATATATTTCTTTCATATAATTTTAAATTTAAATACGTCACATTCTGTCATTTATTGTAGATCCTCTGACAATCGGCGCCATAAAAGTCCATACTTTGAATGTCTTTCCAAGTTTTTACGCAAGAAAGGAAGTGTAAAACCTAGTCGCCAGTTCGTGTACGCGACAAAAGACGAAAAGTTGCAAAAGAAGAATTCTGCCGAATGGTGTAAAGGTCAAAGGTCTCTCATACGAGCTCGGAAATAACAAAGGATAGAAAAGACGAAAAGTACGTCTATATTGCATACTGTCAGAGACGCTGCTCGTGTGTGAAGGGGCGCCTTTACGTCACGGAAAAATACCCGGAAATAAAAATAAAGTTCAAAAATAATCTAGCGTGTAGAACGCTGGCCTTGTAATCCTGGGGTCTCGGGTTCGATTCCCGGCGGTGCCCGAATTTATAACTTGTGTTGGGCAAGGCCGTGGTCTAGGCAACACGGAGTTTTCCTCCGTGGCATCCCAACAATTCCTCCATTCACACACAGAAGAAGGCAATGGCAAACCACTTCTGGATCATCTGCCAAGAACGTATATGAACAGGTCCCAGTCCGAGAAAAGGATGGAAGGATCCTGTTCATATGGACCTGTCGTCAGACAGAACACTAAACAAAAAAACCCATTACAATATGATAAATACATTTTAATATTAAGTAAAAAAGACTTATATTTTGGGATGCAAAAATAAAATGTGATAATTTTTAAATGTGAATCCCAATTTAGTTTTTTTAACTATCCATTATTTATTTGTAAATATATATATATAATTCAGCTCATACCTACAGTCAATGGATCTGGGCAAAGTGCTACGAAAACCTCGTGAGCTAATAATATTTCGGTGTAGTCTAATAATGTGTACTCCATGAGTATCTGTTTTTAGCTGACCTCTCACGTTATTGTACCGGTTTAAATAACACGCACAATACAAACCTAAGCACAACCTGGAGTTTAATCCCTCTCTAAAAGTGGAGAACATAAATGCATGTTATTTGGATCATTTGAATGTGGCCGGGTTCAAACAACACTTAGGATATTTGGTCCTTTGCCACTTTCACTGCTGGAGGAATTAACATCTGCTCCTTCTTTTTTTATCACAAAGCAAATTTATACCACAGCCCCTACAGACTGAGGCATGCAATGTGCTTTACATCAACCGAATAAATTAGCAACCACAGAACCACTATATCATTAATTATTTACAATTACGTATTAACATTCCTGAGTTTTGTTTGTAATGTGTGATAATGTTTCCACTCTTCTCTGGAATTCATAAAGTTCAACTGCTTTAAAAACACCACGGAACTTCAGCATTTTACGTAGGATTTGAGATTCTCACCGCGGCGAATATGAAGATGGCTGTCTTCTGTGTTGTAGCTCCGTGTTGTCTAGTAGAAGTTTACCGACGTTTCGGAGGTCCTTGTTGCCTCATCTCCTTAATTATGAAGGCAGCAAGTACTTCTGAAACGTCGGTAAACTTCTACCAGACTACACGGCGCTATAACCTAGACGACAGCCAATTTTTCCTTTCTCTAGATGGGAAAATGGAAAGACTTTTTATGTCGGCAACGATACCGGGCATGAATAACATATTATACTAAAAAAAAAACACGTTCTTCCAAAACGTCCGTATTTACCCACAAGCCCACTTCGTCAACAACGAACATCAAATGTTATTTGTAACAGCTCCGTGAAGCCGAGACATTCATAACAACGAGAGGCGTGTACAAAGAATTTTGAACCGTTTAAAATACTGATTGATTAATGTTATCGTCATTTGCAGTTCTGATTAATGTTAGCTTTGTTTAAATTAAATATCTCACTCCGAGCAGATAATTCCGTTTTCTTTAAAATAATTTCATATACTGGAACTAAATCACTGAAAGTTTTACTCACAGACAGTATATTTATAGCAGTGTTTCACGTCGGACATGATGGTACGAAAAATTTCATAAACATTTTTTGAATACGTTTATCTTCATAGAGAAGAATCAGATATATAATTTAATTCTACTTTTACCTTTCAACTCGAAGTTCAAATAACAATTCAATCCGTACCGCAAAGAAAACACAACACTGTACCATTACAAACGTGTCGGTCAATGTTGTTTAACTAAATAATCTCTGTTTACACTAAGGATAATTCGAAACCCATAAACAAACACTGTGTTAGTTAATGATTGTTACAGAAGGTAGTTCATGTAGGTACCGCTTGGTTTTAAAATCTTGGATGAAAACCAAAATAGCCATAGTTTACACATTTGAAGACCACCCGTTAGACACGTAACATGCAAGTTAAATTCATAAATCGCATGTAGTAATCTGTGATTTCTGAGTCTATGAATAAATATTCATCGACAAGACAGCAATCGATAGTACAGAACAGCAAAGTTGACAATGATAAGCATCTCAAGCCAAATGAAAATTACAAGTTAATCAATCGAAAATTTCTTCGTATTCCGGAGGTCTCAGGTTCCAATTTTCCACCAAAAGACCCGTTGTACTTTCTAAATTCTTTTGTGGTTTTCCAAAGTCCCTTCACGCAAGTGTCGGAATATTAAGTTAAATTAGGCCACGACAGCTTACTTTAATACGCTTTCTGATTTATTTAAATTAATCAGCCTATCGCTCGGTGTTATATAATATATGCTACTGAAAGCGTCGTTAAATAACCACTATTAAAATTCAAAGGAGGCACATTGGTCTATGCTGTATAAAACTCCTACAGTATACAGAAAGTTCATCAATCATAAAGCATCTATAAAAAAACTTGTCCGTGTACTTAAATAAAGTACATCCTATAAGCTTCCAAGCACGTAACGTATTTAACAGTAATTCCTACGTCACACTCCATAGAAGCTGCTTCGTCACGTGCCTGGCCTTCATTAAATTCCACCCCATGCAGCTTAAATCCTTGAAATATAAGTTAATTAAGGTGATCAAATTTAGTTATCGCCCTTGTTCAGATGTTGCCGTTACATTTTAAAATGTGTATCCTGAAACTGTAATTAAAGCAGTGGAACAAAGTGATCAAATTCGAGTACTGACAGTATGCATCTCGTTAAAACACTAACTGGTTTCTGAGTAAATCATGCACTCAATAACAGCGCCAGTTATTAGCAACTGTCATAATAACATAATTACTATAAGATACATAATTACTATAGTCCTTATTTAAATTTAATAGTAGGCCTACTTAATTTTTATTAACCATGTTTATTTCGTACCATTTCGAAATGTTACGCAGCCATGACTCTATCCCCTAACACTCGTTTGTGAAAATTGGTTGCATGACGGAAATTGAGATTTACGTTAATTCTCACATATTTAAAACTTTGATAATATTTCCTTTGGTTCCTTCTTTAACTCCGTGGATTACACCTTCAAAGCCGAAGCTCGTCTAAAAATATTTCTGAACTCAGTCCGTACCGCAGAGAGAACATAACACTTCACCACTTCAAAGATCAACTGGTTAACGCTGTTTAAGGAAGAAACCGGTGTTTTCAGTGATAATCGTAAGAAAAAAATAAATACAAAATGCAGTGTTACTGATTATAAAATCAGGTGGTACATATAATTACCATTGGACTTTATAAATTCAAAAACAGCTTTCTACTGAACTGATAAGATTTTTGGTTGTTTGAAATAATTAGAAGCCTTTGAACTCGTGATGACTGAACGTTCAGAACAGAACATTCAACGAAAGCTGCTAGATCAACATTAATTAAATCTTGTAACATCCTAACACGTACTTGGGGCATATAAAATCAACAGGCTCTCCAACAGTACAGTTCCATACGTGTGCCAGAAAGTACCTTTCAAACAGACTACGACCACCTCCTTGCCAATCCTCACCCTTTACAGAGATAAACCCAGGGATTAACATCTGGGGAATCATAATTATTATCAGTGTAATATATAGCCAAATATACTAATACATTCCATCGACCCATCTACATTTATCAGTTCTTCAGATTCATAACTGTATTATAATACATTTCTTATCAAGTGTACTTAATAATAAGTTGTAATGTGAACATCTGAGGAAACTTAAGTCAAAAGTGTACGCGTTGCAAATAATTTTTTTTTCCTACCTCTCTCAACCAAATTATTTTCATTCCACTGTATACAAACCTGTCAGAAAAATGTTCCTCTGACATATTTATTACTCCCAGCGTCCATGAATTCGCAGAGGTAATTAGTACAGATGAGTTAAAAGGAAAGATATCTACCGTTTGCCGTAGATGGAAAATGCTAAAAAGTTGTAAAGCTGGGAGTAATTTTTGCAGTCACTTAAAGCCGATAAACCAGAACCTCGCAAGAAAATATTCAAATATAAAAACTTTGGATCATGATAAGAAGCAAATGGGAGTATCTTCAGAATTTCTGCAACTGTTTATACATCCCTGTCATGAGAACTCAAAGGAAGACACCAAATAAATAAATTTTCTGTTGTTGGGTTTTATTTCTGCCAGACAGAAGTTTCAAATAACTTACTTTCACTTATTTGCAATTTTTTATACTCCTTTTTTGTGTGCGTTCTTCGTATGTTCTCGTGTTCTTTTTTAAATTTACTTTTACACTCTGTCTAAATAAAATTTAAAATTGAATCCGTACCGCAAAGAAAACACTTCTCCATTACATATATGAACTTGTTAATGCTGTTCGAGGATATAATGGCTTTTTACACTGAAAAACATACTAAGCTCATAAATGAAAAAAGTATATTTTTTAAGATAAATTT